CACCATCTTGGTCTTCATATCTTCGAAAACTTACTTGTGCTTAATTAATAAACTGAAGGATAGAGAGGGAGTTCAGCCACCCGCAAAAGGAAGGCGACGTAACTAGTCTTTTCTTGTCTTGGTTATAATCATTGTCACTTTTTTGTACTATTAGCTCACTCTTTCTCTCTGTTATTTATACCAAAAACGAAAAAAGGCTCATCAACAAAACCAGACGAGTTTCCGACCTTGCGCAATCGGAGTGATGGTTATAACATGTATGCAGAAAGGGGGAGATAGGGGTCATCAAATCTTGATGGTCAAAAATAGACGTTCCCTTTTTCTGTCCTAATTACTTTGAGCCATCATTGTGGGTTTCGTGGAAAAGCGAACACAAACAGGCACATAAACATACAGAGACAGACATACTCACAGGCATCGGAGTTGACATATGACTTTAACTAACCAAATCACTTTATACTTGATCAAAGAGGCCATATGTAAAGCATATATACCACTTTTTAGGGATTTTTCGGTGAGTTTTCTTGACTCGTTAGCTTGAATTTTGTTGTGACGATGATAACTTGCTCTGATGATGTTCGTCATATGACGGACGAAAGCTTAGCACCTTTTCACTGGAATCGAAGGAGATTACTTAGGAAATAGTGTCATCCAGTTAAGCCAAGCGACAGCTGATCAAGAGGAATCCGCCGTCGGCTTCTGGTGGAACAATTATGAAACAAGAGATTCCTCCAAACCAAAGGTTTCTTTGAACATAGGGGAGTCAAGAAAATTCGATTGCAATGAGAGAAGCCAAAGGGAAGCGGTGCATTTTCACATAGGTTTGGAGCCTAGGAAGAGGTGGATTCATAGGCAGTGGCATGGGCACCACCTGCTCTAAATCCTCGAATATGGCGTAATCAGAGACGGCAGCCAGATTTCAGATAGTCAAACAATGATTTTTATCATTAGCAGCGACTAATCGACATGCTGGGTAGGAGAAAGGGGGGCTAAATGAAGGTCAGGAGCCAGGCAAACAGCACCTGATACCAGTGTTAGAGATGAGTACGCTTCAATATACTCAGTTGTAGCGGCACACTCTTAGACGACATTGGAAGAAACGAGAGCACAGAATTGTGTGAATAGGTAGATGGGCCATATGAAGTGGAGTTGAAAGAAAGAGATGCAGCACTAGAAGATAGAAAAAATAGCGGCGAAGAGTGATGCCACAGCAGTTGAACAGAAAATTCGCTTTACTTGTCACTTTGATAAGTTGTAACTCTGTGGTGATAATGTAACTTCTCACTGAAGATGCCAGCTACAATGCCTTTGAAACGTTTGGGAATGTATTAAGTCACTGGTCCGATGCTAGACATCACGAATACTATGGCAGAGGACACAAGACTAGGTACGTTTCACAATGCCTCCCTGACGCTCTGACCAAGATGCGAAAACGGGATCGAAGCAACATTATAAAGCTAAAGGAGACTGTGACCAAAACGAAGGCCCCATAACCTTGATCATTATATCTACAAGTTAAACGATTAATGATCATTTCCTTATTTAATTTGATTAACTTATTAATCACCCCTAATCTTATATCAATAGTGACCAAAATTCCTTTTATCCTTCAAGACCCTGATTATTCAACGTTGATATCTCAACTATCAATACAACTTGTAGTAATCATCATCTTAATAAGCAATTAAGTCTAGGTGATAAAGAAGAAAGCCAAAGAAACTGACCGGAGAAACTCTTTCTGAAAGTGGAAATTGGGGAATTCTCCCTTCTCAATCAATTTCACGGAGAGTTGGCGGAGTGAGTCGACCACGAAAACAGCCACATCTACGTTGTCCGACCGGCCAGCAGAAGTAAAATGTTCACCTACGTGTTCCCAAACACGCGACCATTGTAGTCGAATACGGCCCATGTTGTAGTAAGAGATCTCAACCAGCTTCTGCAAAGTGAATGTGCGAGGATGCGATAGAGACAACTCTTCTCGACTGACCTACATAGGAAACATAAAAATAGGCATAGGGACGGAAATATATAAACAGTTAAGGAAAAAAGAAAAAGATAAAAAGTATAAAAAAATCGTAAAGGAAAATGAAAAATTAAGAGGTTTGATTTGAAGGAACGTATCAAAAACGATGAAGATAAGTTATACAAATGAAAACGAATGAAGATGATGATCTGCTTACTTGGCAAAGTGCCCGGACAAAGTCAACAATGGCATCGCCATCAAGCCGAATACTGCCTGAGAAGATCTTGTCCACTGCAACGGCAATGCTCTGAGCCCCGGTCTCACCCATTACTTCTTGCAACACGGCTGCCTTGCGGGCGTCCACAGGTGCTGCCATTAGGCTGTGAGCAAGGACGGGATTGCCAGAAGGATTGATATGGCTAGAAGAAGGTCCTCCAGTGGCAAAAACTCCTCCACTCATACTACCCCCACTACCTGTTGCGGCAGCCAACCCGGGAGCCCCGTAGGTAGGGTGCATAACAGAGGAATGGGAACGAGTGAGATGTGAGGAGGAACGTTTGTTGGAAGCTTGAGGAGACAATGCGGAACCGGCATTTATTGATGAAGCTGTAGATAAAAAAATGAGGTTAGATGAAACTCATCGGATCTAAAACGACTAAGCATGTAAAAGGTTTTATTTAATTTTATGTCTTAAATTGAGAGAATTCAGAGGCAGGACCAATGTCATGTCAAAGATAATAACAAGAAATAAACTATTTTTTAATAAAGCTAAGAAGAAAGTTTAAATTGTATATATTCATATTAGAAAGCACTCCTGGTGTAGCGGGAACAAGGATAGAGCTGTGTTAAGGCAATGAACATTAGGGTAAACAAAATAAAAAAGATGGAATAAACTTTGGCAAATAACATGCTCAAGGTCCATAGAATAAAATGTCCCGAATCTGGAATAGGTAAAAAATACTATTCGATTTACTTCAAATTTACAGAGACAAGTGAGAGCCAAATTAAAGATAAATGTATATCAAGGCTAGCGAATATTCCAAGTTTTGAAGAAGTTCTATTACACAAAGGCATGGCTGAGTAAAGGGTTCCCATATGAAGGATAATATAAGATAGGAAGGTTAATAGAAATTATTTTATTTATTTATTTATCAAGTATGCCAGATAAGGGGCCTGGTATTGTTAAGTGTATGATACTATGTAGATATGAAGATTAATTGGGTTTCAATGAATCTCCTTAGATAACATTGTTAGGAGGACCTTCATTTCATATGAAAGTGTATGAAGAAGAGATTCGTTGGTCGATCTCATCAGATGAGGACGGATGAAACTCGTTGTACTGCAGCCGGTTAGATTTTATACGATATTCATGGTGACGCAGTCCACGGGACTTCCTCCCTCGTTTCGGGTAAAAAAGGTGCTGAGTTTTCGTCCATCATATGATGGACATCATCAGAGTTGGGTGTCATTCTTGTAAAAGTCAAATGTTAACACTAGGCCAAGAAAACTTCTTCTTCTTGCACTTTCATACATGAATACCGTATAAAATCCAACCGGCTGCAGAACAACGAGTTTCATTCGTCCTCATCTGGTGAGATCGACCAACCAATCTCTTCTTCATGCACTTTCATACGAAATGAAGGTCCTCTTAACAATGTATGATACTACACTCAAAGAAAGTAAAATTCTGAGTTGGCTAAGGAAACTAAATGAAACAGAAATAGATAAGTGTAAGTTTAATCGATGCAAAAAAATCGCACAAATAGAACCAATGAATAACTAAAAATAAGGTCACTGATTAATGCAGAATATCGGCTAGAATAGGGATTCCAGTGAAGTGAAACTATCATATAAAGTAAATTATAATTGCTTGCCTTATCAAGATGAACGGCCACTGGATGAGATTTGTGCATATTTACCCAAAGCCACTTTCAGTGCTCACACAGCAGCACACTAAAGGGTATATTCAAGAAATTTGTAAAGTATTGTAATCGTGTATTAGAGTCGCGTCCCACTGAGAGAAATGCCAGTGGCTTTCGAGTGACTGTAATTTAGCAGATCTACCAACCTGTTATTACAACTTCTTTAGCATAAAGTATAGTTATCCGGTAATAGGTATTTAAGAAATTGTCGTAGAGTCTATACCAGTGTGGGAGATATGGGAGTGCCAATAAATCGTAAGGAGATGAAGTCGAAACATAGGCCTAAATAAAATGTATGCAAATTAGCACCCTCTATCTATACCATGTCTTACTATGCGTTCCTAGGCCTCGCCCGAGGCGGCCGGCGAGACTGGGGGGAGTCTGGGAAACAGTGGCAGGTAGCGGCGCGATAAGCTGGGCCGACTCCAGTTGGGAGATGCAGCGCAAGATGTGCAACCATGAATCACCCAGATAATTCCCGTCGGTATGTGCCACCTGGATAAGAGTTCGAATAGAGTCGATATTTTTTGGCTTCATAGACTCTGGCAGCGAGGTTATAACTCCAGAATGCCCGAATTGCAGGTTGGGATGGTACTAATGGTAAAATGGAAATGTATATGGAATGTTAGTCTATAGAGGTCACATGAATTCTAGTAATAAAACTGCGTGCCGAAGCAACGGTCTGTAACAGTAAGGTAGAAAAATAAAATATACCTAAAATGTACTCACCCTATTTCGTTTACATCCTGATGGCATACGTGTTCACCTCAAAACATATTCATTTCGTCTACTAAATCTGCACCACAGCGAAACTTAATGATCAAATCAAGTTTAGCATCATTCTGTTGGATGCTTTTTTGGCATAAGATTCCATATAGGCACTATGAAACCTTAGCTTGTTCTGAGTTATTTAAAAAAAGATAATGAAATTTTTTAAGAATGATATTAGTTGTCTCCGAGAAGTTTTCAAATTCCAATTAGCCCTGCCTTATAAATGATTTTCACATTTAGGAATGACTGCATTTCGATCTTGTATATGTCCCTTCAGAAAATATAAGAGAATTCGAAACAAATTCGTG